TTCAGCCCCCAAAGAGACATAAATTAAAGCTCCCCAAATTATTCTACTACAGACCACTAAATGTTAATTCCATGGGAAAACATGATTTAAAACAGAAATATTGTTAATACAAATCTCACACCCTTTTGTTGAGATCCAAATGTAGGTCAAATGTACTTTCCCAAATATAAGCTTTCTGAGCCTACATTACCACTTCCTTTGCTGCTGATTTCTAACTTCAGCATGTACTGAGTAAGCATTTGTGGGCTGTAGAACATCTTTAGGTGCAGAGTTTACTTAACTTCTCAAGCAATGAAGGTCTTGCCTGTGTCCATCTCTGCGGGGGGTTGTACAGGATATGCTGGTCAAAAACTAAGCTCCCACGTATTTTTAGAACAATTCCCCCCCATAAAACTTGAGATCTGCTTGTTCATTAGTTTGTTCTTATTAACAAAAAGACCTGGGAGAACCCTCATAGACAAGTCTAGCAGTAAAGCAGGAAATTTTCTCAAACTAGACTACAAAAGTGACTTTATATGGTACAAAAATTAATACCTTCTAAGATGCAAGTGCTACAGAGAGGAAGAATGGTTGGGTATATGGTTAGTCCACACATGATCAAATAGTAAGGTACTGGGTTAAGAGTTACAGATATAGGTATGAATAAAACAGAATTCTTGTATCTTAGGGAGCTTATAATGAAGGAAGATGGACAAATATTTAGAAATTTCAAGAACGTGGTGAAAGAGACAGTCTAGGGAGATTTGGGCTATAGAACAGAGACATTTAACTTGAGAAAGTAAAAAATTTTTCCTGGAGGAAGCGGCTAGAGTGCTAAGAACTGAAAGATTGGTCGTCTTTTAATTAGAACACATGGCAACTCACGTTGTGCCCACAGAGTTTCTCACCATTGTCAGATCCCCACCTTTACATCCTTCACATCCGAGAACTCCCACCATGCAGGGCACATCATAGTCACAGCTAGCAGCAAACCACCCACCTCATTCCATTAGGAAGACAGTAAGACAAATACATGGAGAAATGAGTTGAGAATGACATTCAGTTGAAGAAAATTTAAATAACAAAACCAAAGTTTCCTAGGTGAGTCATCACAGAAATAAGTAAATGCGGATGCTGTATAACAGGTAGTCACAAATTCCTGCCTGAGTCACGATAACTACACCTTCCCATGGTTCAGAGTAGTGCTTAGCTTTTCTGATAGTCTCTAAAGGATAATAGATATGAAAATGCAGCTATATAAATGAAATGAGGAACTCATCAATCTTTTGACAAATGTACTTGAAAACTTCCCTCTTACATTGGTACTAAAAGAAAACAGCAGGTGTTACCAACAGGCAAAAATGACTCTTAAATTTATGACTCTTAAATTTAAAGATAAAAATGTACATTTTTTTAAAAGTACATTTCTAAAATGTCACACTTTAGTCAGAACTGAAGTATTTAATCCTGTATTTCTCAGAAGAGCAAAGAGCAACTATTCAGTTTAACCAGCAGTGATCTAGTTATTGCCCAGATGCATGTAGTTTGATCTGAATGACAATGTTGGATAGATATATAACCCTAAAGCAAATCAACTACAATCAGGACAATTACATTAGTGTAGTGGTCCCTTGATTTATGAACTTAATCGGCTCCAGAAGGCTGGAGTTGGTTGTAATTCAATAAAGCTGAGTTCTGGATGTTTACCTGGGCATACACTGTAGATAACAAGAGGCAGATGAATCTTCCATTAACCTAATAACCCAAACTGTTCGTATGTCAAGCCAGTCATAACTTGAGGGTCCAAAGTATTAATATTTTATCTTTTGAATATGTGTAATAATAACAAATAAAAATGGGGGCCAGAGATTTAGTTCACCGGCTCCACCACCTGCCTCACAAGCACAAGGTCCTGAGTTTGATCCCTATTACCCAAAAAAAGATTACTTAAAAAAAAAGTTGACATATTTTCCATAGTTAGGATAAAAGCTTCTCCTGGAGGTTATTTTATTTGCAGCTGATATCCTCTTCATGAAGTGTGCCACCATCAGCATTGGAATCACAAGAACATCCTCCACCTGCCTTTTCCTTTTACCTCTACTAGGTTCCATTTGTCCTCATTGCTGTGTAAAAGCAAATTAAACCAAGTTCCCTCTGCTAACCTTCAAGGCATTCTGTGTTTCAAAATCACCTTAGCTGACACATCTTCTTTTCAACCAAGAGCAAACAGAGACCCAAGGATCCCTGACTCTGGAAAGCACTTACTCAACTCTTAGAGTCTTTTGTTAGGGGAAAAAGAGGCCATGTGGGGTGCATCATTTCTGGTGCTCTGTGCAGTGTTATAGACAGAAAGTGCTTCTGGGCTTCCTTTGAATTAAATGTAACTTTAATTTTGAGTTTGGGGCTGTACAAGTTTTTACAAGAACCTCTGGGTTGTGTCATACATCGTGATATATTTGTTGGGTGAGAATAAAAGTCTGATTTACATCTTATTCTTCTCAGGATAGGATTTTTAAATTTTCTTTTCTCTTTAATAAAAATGACTAATACTTTTCTGATATTTTTGTCATGAGAAGACTGTGTTTTGCTTTATTTATGTGACTTGATCAATTATTTCACCATCTACATAGGGATGTTACATTATAGAAATGTCTACAATGTTCCCACTGGGCCAACGTTCATTAAACTAGTAAAATATACTTTCTTCCAAGTATTCATAAAGCAATTTTAAAGTTGACTTCTTGATTCTAAATCACTTGGGTCAAGTAAAACATAAAGAACTCACAACATACACGTTAGTTTTTCAATAGTCTATGGTTTCTAATAGATTTAGTTCCTCTAAAAAATATGGCAACACATCCATTTGAATTACTACATTCCTTTCTAAAACTTCCACACCTCCTTGTCCCCATACCAGAAAAAAAAAATCCCTAGAAACTCAAATTTAAGATATGAGCATTAGCTGACAGATTGACAATTTCCAAATATTAGTAAGAGAAACAAAAGGCCACAGATTGATTGTTGGTGTTAACTGTCAGAAGCAGAAACATACAGAATGAAGACAATCTCTCTAAGGGGCTGTCTTTTGTCTACCCTGTCAGAGACCTTTTTGAAATTATTCAAGTTGAGATTCTACAAGTCTTTTCTGTTAGAATATTTACAAGTCTTTTCTGTTCATGTCATTATCTTCAAATTGACTAAAGTTCTCTTCATTTCCTCTCATCTATTCCCTTTGTCTACTCTTAAAGTTCTTGTTTTCTAGGAGGGACACAGCTGAACTATTCAGAAGATTTTTTATATCCCTAAAGAGAAAACTTACTACATTTTTACATAGGGAATTTTCCTTCATGATATAGTCAAACTTTTCATTATGTTCAAAACTACCCATTCTAAGTGTAGTTTACTTTTCTGTTCTTACATATTTTCCGTGTTTTTACTCTTCTATTAATCATTTTCACATAGTACTAAGCACCATGCAGCAGTAAAGATTTCTGCAAGGAAATATCTGTGATGGTTGATTTTTTTTGGGCGGGGGGGTTGAGGCAGGGTCTCACTATGTACTTGAAGCTGACACGGAACTCACTGTGTAGCCCAGGCTGGTCTCAAACTCACAGCGATCCTCTTGCCTCAGCCTCCCGAGTGCTGGGATTACAGGCATGCGCCACCGCAACCGGCCCATGGTTGATCTTGTCAATTAAATTGGCTTAAGAAATACCTAGGGAATTAGTAAAGCACACTTTTGGATACGTCTGTGTGGGTCACAAGGACATACAGCTGGTTGCTGGACATTTTCTCTCTGGTTTTTTCCCTGTTGCTATGCCTCTTGGCTGGCATAAAATAAGCAGTCTTGCCCTGCCACATCCTTCCACTATGATGCTTCTGCCTCAAAGCCAGCCAACCATGGACTGAAACATCGCAAACCATGAGTCAAAAAAATCTTTTCTCCTTTATCATATATGTCAGATAAATTGTCCCAGCAACAGAAAACCGACCAATTCAGAAAACTGGTGCTAAGAAGTTTGGGGCTCGTTGCTATAACCATTCCTGACCATGTGGTTCAGAAGCCTTTGGAACTAGTTGACAGGAACTTAGAAATGTTTCAAGATGCAGGTTAGAGAAATCCTAGAATGCTAAAAGCAGAGACTGATGGGTGAATCTGGTGGGAGTTCAAAAGACCAGAATGCTGATAGAAAGGCAGACCACAAAGATTGCACTTAGGAGGTTTCATATGGGAATGAAGACTCTACTGGGAATTAATTAGACGAGACCATGTGAGCAAAGACTTTGTCTACATTTTGCTCATGCCCCAAAACTTTTTGTGAGGCTGAGTTTAAAGGCAATTGATTAAGTGGTTGAGCAAATTTCAAGACAGCCCAACCTTCAGACTGTGATATGGGTAATAATAGCTGCCGTCATGAGATTTATCTGGAGCAGGCGCGCAGACTCGAGGCGGCTGGGCGGCCTGCGTGCTCAGCGGAAAACAGCCATGAGCCAAGCGGCCAGGATACCAGCTGATACAGACCCGGACTCGCCCGCTCCTCGCCTGTCCGGTGAGCACAAACGGTCACAGGCCGCAAGACACACCCCCCACCCAGCCTTCCCGCCGTTACCTGGGGTGGGGCGCGTACACGACTCACCGCCACCTTAATGTCCAGCTTCCGGCGTCGGCACGTTCGTCCCGCCCACTGCACTCTCATTGGAAACAATTTCTGCAGACCTCCCCTCCGCTGGAGCAAGTGGGCTCATCCATATCCGGGGAATCTACCCTGCGTGGTGACTCACGCCTGTAATTCTAGCGCTAGAGAGGCTGAGGCCGGAGGACTGCTGTGAGTTCGAGAGCAGCCTGGGCTACACACTGAGTTCCAGGTGAGTCTCAACTACATAGTGAGAACCTGAGTTAAAAACAAAAGGGGGGGGTCTGAAAAATAAGGGTGGGTCACGTGATGCCGAGGTAAGCAGGTCTGGAGTTAGCAGGTAGGGTGAACTGGATGAGGATCTGACAGGATCACAGCTACAGGAAGATGGACAGTGAGGTACAGAGAGATGGAAGGAGCTTGGATTTGATTGACGATGCTTGGCGGGAAGACAAGCTGCCTTATGAGGATGTTGCAATACCACTGAATGAACTTCCTGAACCTGAACAAGACAACCGTGGCACCGCAGAATCTGTGAAGGTGCAGGAAATGAAGTGGACAGACTTTGCCTTACAGTACCTTCACGAGAAGGTCCCTCCCATCAGAAACTGATTATCAGCTTCTTTCTCATGGCTGGATCTTTCAAAAATAAATTGATACATAGCCCCCCAAAAAACAAAAAAATACACTGATACAAAATGTTTTTCAGTTTCCTAATTCAGATCTCTCAATAATTAAATCAACACTCAAAAATGTACACCCAACCTGGTTTATAGCACAGTGCAAATATTCAGAATGAGAAACCCAGATTTCTCAGGAATACAGAATATTTGGTTCTTTATACCTAAAATATATTAATTCACTTTCTTGTATTTGATTAAATATTTGCCTTTAACTCTGAAAAAAAATCAGGAGCAAAGGCAGAGTAAAAAAGATTTTTAAAAAGCCAAGTATGTTGTACCATAATAGGAAATATGTCTTGAGAGAATTTTAGGGATTGTCCAGACTCTACCCATCACAGGATCAAGAGTGTAAATTGTAAACTCCTTTGAAATACTTTGCTTTGAGAAGAGAGCCCCAGGGAACCCTGTTTATTCAGGTCTGTGTAGGGGTGTATTCTCCCACGTTCAAACATCCAGGCGCTCAGAGGCCACTTCAACCTTGGTCCAAGGAGTCCTGGCTACTGCTTGTGTTGATGGCAGGCCTTGATATTGTTCACATGATGCTAGTTTTGCAGGCATGCATAATGCAAGAGTTATGTGGTCAGAAAGGATTTCACCCAGATATGAAAGAGGTCTAAGAAGTTAGGCATTGTGTGACAGGGCCAGAGTTCCTACTGGGACTCCTGCAAGTGTAATGCATGAAACTATGGGAGTGAGGCCAAAGCTGCAATGAAAGCTGTAATGGAACAGCAGGAAGTCAGAGTGCCAGGAATGTGGAATGTCTGCTAAGGAGAGCCACAGGCAGTGAGTGGAATTAGCATGAAAAGAAGAAAGCTGTCCTGTGTGCTGCAAACAGCAAGGTCATACAGACAAGGTTGCCCTTGCCCTTTGGAATTCACAACTCCTCACTTTGTGTTCCAGATGCTGGCCATAGAGCTACAGGCTTAATGTTGTCCTGAGTTTCAGTCTTGCTTTGGTCTGATTTGTTTCTATCCTTCATTCTTCCCTTTTGGAATGTAAATATTTACCCTATGCCATTGTACCATGGAGTAATGTAACTTGTTTTTTAATGGTGCTCATAACTAAGAGTCTACCTTGAGTATCAGAGGAGACTTTGGACTTGAAATGTTTCTTTCTTTTTTTTTTCCCCCAGTATACTAGAAATTGAACCCAGGGCATTTGCACTGAGCTACATTCCCAACATTTTCTTTTTATTTATTAGATAAAGTCATACTAAGTCACTAAGTTCCCCTGGCTGGATTCAGACTTGCAATTCTGCCTCTGCATTCCAGGGTGCTGGAATTATAAGCATGAACCATCATGCCTCAGCTGGATGTGGACTCTTTTTTTTTAAGTGACTTAAGTACATTTTAAAATAAATTGACATGCATTTTAATGCATATTAATGCACATTACACTTTTTTCCATTAAGTTTATTGGTAGTTTTTAGGTATACAGTCCAGTTACATTCATCATTGGCCTCTTGTGCCTTTATATAATGTATCTTGGTTCTTATTTTTCCCCATTCCCCGCCCTCCTGTACTCCCTCCTCCCTTCCCTATTTACAAAGACTTTTATTTCCATTTTTTCGTTTTCTCATACTTTTTTTCCCTTCTATAGGACACACATGTGTAAATACCAAATAGTTTCTCTGGTATGAAAAACTGAACATGTAAATAAGGATCAAAATGTATAACTGATAATGTGAAATAGAATGAAGGTCTAAAGAAGTAGGGGAAGTGGGAGGGGTAGGGGAAAGGAATGAAGGGAAATGGACGTGAGTGATGCTGGAACTATGGAGCCATTGGGGAAAGAATTACTACATTTTCAGAAAGTACATATTGAAAAGAATTATGACCTTTTTACTGTCTCTATTTAGAGATTAACTATGGCTTAAGGAAACATGTTTAGGTGTCAAGTTGAGAAAGTTGGACTTGTGATAGCTCATCTTGATTGTCAGTTTGATCAGCTTGAGAGATGCCTAGGACAGCACATGCAATACAGTGACTTCTGGGTAGGTCTAGATGGGTCATGGAATCGTGACCTTGGGAACTGTGTTTGGTTCTGGTCCCTTCCTCTCTGGTGTTCATCCCCTGTGCTGTTTCCCAACCATCATGAAATGAGCACGTCAACTCTTCCACACTCTTCCATCATGACATTTCTGCCGTATAGCCAGCTGATCACAGACTGAAACCTCTGAAGTCATGAGCCCAAATAATTCTTTCCTCCATTTTGATACACACACACACACACACACACACACACACACACACACACATGTATTTTTCCAGCCATGGGAAGGTAATTAATACAATATCCTAGAAATAGCATTCTTCCCACTCTTTTCTCAAACAAAATTTTAGTTTAAAACATCTCAAATAATAGACCATCTTTCCTTTTTCTGACTTTTCCTTTCAAATACAGGGAAGTTTTTTCTAAGAAAGGGAAATGGGAGACCAAAGCACGAAACAACGAAGTAAAGGTTTTACTTGTTCTTTTTTCTATCCAATTACAAAATATCTTCACAGCTTAAAACAACATGAATGTATTACATCACAATCAGAAGTCTCAATTGATTTGACTAGTTTCTCCACGCAGATTTCATAAGGCTGAAAATAAGCTACAAACAGGGTCATGCTCCTTGCTGGAAACTCTGGGAATGAGTCTGATGGAAGGTCATTTGGGTTACTGGATGAGTCTATGTGGTTGTAGGACTGAAGTCCTCATTTCCTTGCTGGTTGTCAGCCAGGGGCTAATCTCTGAGGCCGCTTGAATTCCATGTGTTTCCCCATAGCAAGAGCTGCTTTTGTCTTGTTCATATCTGGAATCTCTGCCTTTTTTATTTACTGCATCTCACGGACTCCAGTCTGAGAAATTCCTTTATTATAAAAGGCTTATTTGATTAGCTTTGGCCCACCTAGATAAACTCAGGTAAAGTCTCTATCTTAAAAGCCAAAAGTTCAATTATATCTGAGAGTCTCTTTTGCTGCACAATATTTCATGGACTCCAGCAATTCACATAGGGTCATTTTAGGAAGGGACATTATTGACTTACAACATCACTTTCTGTGTTTTTTAATGTTTTGAATTTGTATTACATGTGCACATTACCTACTCAAAAAGGAACTAAAATATAGAAAAGGACATATGAACAAAAGTAAGTGCCTTCCACTAAGGGCATATGTTAAAGGTTTGGTCTCTAGCTTTTAGGAGGTGGTAAAAATGTTAAGATAGCGTTTAATGGGAAGGTGTGTAATTGGGAGTGTGCCCTTGAATGGGGATAGTGAGACTGTTTTCTTTCTGTTTTCTCACCACAGGGGGAGTACCCTCCTCAATCAAATATTCCCACTGTGATGTGTCGCCTCACCACAGGTTGGAAAGGAACTTAGCCAACTGACCATGGACCCAAACTGTGAGCTAAAATAAATGTTTTCTCATTTTAAATTTCCTATCTAGGTGGACCAGGGACTTAGCTCAATGGTTCCACTGCCTGCCTCACAAGTGCAACGACCGGAGTTTAATCCCTGGTACGGAAAAAAAACAATACAATAAAATTTTTTTTAAAAGTATCTTATCTAGGGGCATTCTGTTACAGTAACAGAGATTAATTCAACATGGAAGTATTTATGGAAGGTGTAACTTATTTGCTAAGCACTGACCGAGCACCAGGTTCTGAATATGTATTCTCTAATTAAATCATCACAATATATCACCTAGATGTTACAAATGAGGTAGACGGGTCTAAAGGAGTTAAATGTTTGCCCAAGGTCACACAGCTAGTGTACAGTAGTCTTCTAGACCAAGAAGTATCTGGCACCATAGGGCCATTTTGAACCACTCTTCAAGGATGCCTGACAGGTGTCTAGCTGGTGGGAACATCTTCTCTAATTCCTCCTTCATCTCTCCCTCCTATACCATCTCTGTAGGGGAATCAGCAAAAGTTTGGGGGTAGACTGTCATGCAGTGATAGATAACTGAATCTTAGGTAGTTTGTTATGCAGCAATAGGTGACAGAAATAGGAAGAGACCCAGCATGTACAAGATTTCAAGCAAAACCCTACATTGTGTATTTTCAATCTAGTTCCAATGGGAAAACCCGAATTATGCCTCAGAATTATCTTAACATAAGCTACTGCTTTCACCTTCCTGGATTCTGGATAAAAGTCCTGCTGAAGCCAGAACCAGTGGCATAAACTCCCAGGCTCTTCTGGCTTTCTGAACAGCATAGGCAAGGCCACTCAGCCCCTAGAGAGCTTAAATATATAGTTGAGCAAAAGCAGAACAAAAAAAACGAGCAAGGATCTCATCCACAAAGCTTCAGTTGGATCAATTAACGGGAATTAGAACTTTACTTCACAGTAACCAATTTCGAGAGGAAGCTTTGTAGATGAGAGGAAGAGGTAGGTACAATTTCTATTTTGCAATGTAAGGAAAATATGCCCTGAAAAATAATGCAGGTGGAACATGTTTGCATAGCAAAGCACAGGAAAGCAGCCTTGTGACAATGCTGAACGCTTCCCCTGTTCAGAGAATCGTGGGGTGGGGAGATGCTAAATCCTTGGCAAGTGTGTTTGACATTAATGTTGGTACGCCTAACTTCCCAATTTCTGACCCAAGTGAAGAAATGCTTCTGATCTTTTGTTGGGCTTAATTAGAGCACATCTATGATCTGTTTCTTTAAAAAGAAGAGAGAGTCAGAATGCCATTATCATTTCTATGGAGAAAATTTATTTTCAACCGTGTTTTTAAAAATCTGTGTTAGCAGTTTGGAGAGGAAGCTCTCATTTTCTAAATGCAAATTTTGGCTACCCCTGTCTTCTCTTTTCTACCTCAACACTTAGAAGAAATAATAACAGGCTTTTTTACTTATAACATAAAGTAGTAAGTTTTGCAGTCTTCCTTCCTAGCTTCAGCTTACATTAGAAAATGCTTCCTCAGCCAGGCATGGTG